ATTTCCGCTTCTCCTGAGCTCCCACTTCCTCTTCCCGGCTCCAGGTGGGAGCGGGACGGGCTCCGCTCCGCCCCGCCGGGAGGGGCCGCGCCGGCGGCTGCGGGAACGCCGCCTCCCCCGGGGTTTGCGGGGCTCGGAGCCGCTCCAACAATCATTGATATTTATTTCTGGAGCTGCTGCGTCCCCCGTTTCTTTCAGCCGCGCAAAAAATGCACATTCAGTAGTTTTAAAATGGCCACAGGGGTATTGCTGGTGCAATTTTGAATATCCTTCTTTCTTAAGACTCACTTTTGCACCGTCATGTTTTGGAAGTCGCATCTATTCCGTCCCCAGGGGTTTCCATCACTTTTTTTTATCAGTGGGAAAAAGTTTCCCCCATAGCTGGGATCCTCCAGAGGATCCAAAGAAAACGGATGCCAAAATAGAAACTACGAGGTTTTAAAACACTGTGGTTGGAGGTATTGGTTGGTCCGCTGTTTGCGTCTTTTAGAGGAGGAGACCCCACAAAACTCCATTTCTAGCAAAAAAAAAAAAAAAAAAAAAAAAAAAATTATTACAGATAAATACACAAATTCAAGCTGCAATAGAGGGCAAGATGATTAAAAATCCAGGTGAACACAAGAACAAGTTAATTGTAAATGTAGCCAGTTCACATTAATAAATAGGCTCAGTTACTTTTTCCTGGATTACACACAGTGCGATTTACCCCATAAACTGAATTCAGCATATTTGAAAAACTGGCTTAATTTACTCTCTAAAAGCTGTCTGCTAGAGAACACACGTGCAGAGAACAGCTCAATCCTTTAGGCATTACTTCTGTCTGTTCTTTTGGACTCTTCACCTGACCTTCCATGTACAGGTAGGAATACCAACCACGTGTATATATCACTTTTCATCCATTTGTTCCAACATCTCATATAAAACCAAAAGGTACTGACTGCTACCTAAGTTAACTACAATTGTCCTTTCCCTCCCAAGCCCCCTACTATTAACAAAAACTGGAATAAATGTAGAATAACTTGTACACCTGAACTACAACCCTGACAGTGGGAAGTGAAAAACTTTCTTTTAAAGGCAAAGTGACCCTTCAGTTTCTTTAAAAAGTAGTACCCTCAAACATATAGTGGCAATTTTTATTTACCTGAAAAATTATTTTGCTGCCCCTCCCTCTCAATCTTTTAGCCTACCAAGTTCCAAAAATAAATTCTGCTTTGAACTAATTGACCTGTTCTCCAAATTTTGGCATGATAAATCACTACTGTCCACAAGACACTGCTACAGCAGTTTAAAAGACAGAGTTAAAACATATTTTTTGAGTGTACCTGTTTTTTAAGCATGCAAAAAATGCAAGCTTAAAGTTCACTCAGATAATTCTGAAGTATGCAGACAGGATGCACAATTTAATTTTTTTCAGCTCTCTTTCCAAGTAAAGCCTTTAAAGACATTTGGCAATTTACAAAACATTATATTTAATCAAGTATTATGTAAAGATCACTGTAACAGACCCAGGTGCCTTTTCCACCTGCAGTTCTCTTTCAGCAGGGTGTGTGGGAGTTACTAAAACTGCGAAAGACGTGTTTTTCTGGATCTCTCTGGCACAGCTCTGCTGTCTAACTCAGAAGGAAGTCACCACACACAGTCTTGCCAGTTTGTGAAAGCTTTCACCATTTCACTCATTTATTCTACCTCTCATGTCAGTTCCATTGTTCCGTAACAGTTAAGGTTTTACAGCCTCAAAATAATAAACGCATTTTCTGTTCACATTTTACAAGTCTATCCCGCATTGGTTTCACTTTTGAGAAGCAACAATACATGACTTTGAACACCTACTATCACATCAGTGACCTGCAACACCTAGGCAAGGTTTCTCTAAACAGCAAAGTTTAGCTGAGCAGTGAGTCAGGATTTCCTTCTGCAGTTCCATTTTAGTTTTTCCTAGAAAGATATATTCTCTGAGAATATAAAAGAGACGGCAAATGAAAAGACAGCAACTTGTACAGACAAGCCAGACAGAGATGCATCACTGAACAAGGCTTAGAGCATCCATGGCAGTGTTTCTCCAGGCATTCCACATCCTGCTGTTGATCTTGAGGACACGATGAAATATGATTCACAACTGCTTCCATTATTCTGCAACTTTATCCTTCTGATTTCTACTCATTGAAATGGTTTACAAATATATTAAAATTGACATGAACAGCCCTATTGTGGCCCCATTTTGCACTGGTTCCCTTAACTCCCATGTTTCTCCCCAAATATCACTACGGCCACAATCTCATGTATTACTAAACAACTGTTGCTGCTGTCTAGGACAGTACTTCCATCTTCACCATGTGGACCAGAATACACTGAAGGTGTGTGACAGGTCTGGTTTATTATTTTAAAAAGCAAATCATAACTCTAAATATGAGTAGAAGTAGACAATAAAGCAGTTTTTTCTCAGAAAACTGATATTAATGCATGTGAACTTGAACAATTCCAAAGAAAATGTCACATCTAATGGAATATTTTTGCTGCTGAAGAAATGTCATCATTTGAAACCAGATCTACAGGGCAGCAAACAATCATTAAGATGCTTTATTGACAATATCCACTCACTGCAAAAGTTTCTGCCTGCATACAATTAGATCTTAGCTTTTCCATAGTGTTTTATTGGCAGTGGAAAATGCATCAGTACTTTATTGAAAGCAATAAATAATACTGTGATAAAAACAGTTCAAAAGTAGACTGTACATATTGTTACATAATCTGAAAATACACAAAAGATTAATAGAAAAACAGAACAGTAACAATGAATTTCAGTTTTACAAGCAAGTTAAAAGTGGAAAACAAAATAAGAAAAAAGACATGCTATATATATTTTTGCATAATAAATAATGCACCATCTGAACAGATTCTTGCTGGCTTTTTAATATGCCATTTACAAGTGTCAGATACATTTTCTACTCATACAGTCCAAAATGGCTACAACCATCCAAATTAAAGTCCAGACAAGTCTTTAGAACAAGTTTACAAAACACATAGGATGACTTACATAAGAAAAGTAAGGCCTTTATTAGAAGATGCACTGCTTTCATTTTCAGCCCATTGTACCTTCATCTTTCACTACTCATTTGACAGGAGGCTGCAGTGCTTTAGGATTGGTCCATTAAAACTGGTTCCACCAGTGTCTTTCCACCAAGTGTTTTCAAGCAAAAAGGTCTAGGACAAAAAAAAACCTCTCTGTGGCCTGTGGCTCACAACCAGGAATCATTACGAAGTCTATCTTCCTTAGGGAAGGAAAAGCAAAAATAAAAACAGTCCTCGGTTTATGGCTTGTTTTCAGTCACTGTGAAGAGTCACTACACAAACACAGCACAGGGTGCTAGGACTGAGGCAATCACTCCTACAGCATGTCCCGCAGGGTTAAGAGTTCCTCCCAGCTTTTCAAACCAATTCTACTTTAAATAAAGACAAATTGCCACTACTTGATCCATCCTCTGTGTGGAAAGGTACAGCTTTGAGAAGAACAACACTCATGTACCGTCCCTCCTACATCAACAAAGGCTCACCTGAAAAAAAGCTGGACTTGTTTTCAGATCTAAGCTAAGAGCTCCAAAAGACAAAATATATACTGCTTGGTGTCATGATACTTTTACAAAGGTATTAAAATCCTTTTCACCTTCAGTTTCATTATTAAAAAACAATGATAATTACAGTAACTGCATCATTTACAAAAACCCTATATTGCTCATAGGGACACATACATACAAGCATTACAGTACATTCAGTTGGAAAGACTAAAATTAGAATTAAAAATCAGCAATGATTTGATTTGTAGACTGAATAGAAACAGAAAAAGTAAGTAACTATATAAATGAGAAGTCACATAAATATAAGAAACATTTAGATTCTAAAATATTTTCTCTATAGTACTCATGAATTTATTTGCTAATTAAAAACTCTGTAATAAAATATCTCAAAGTGTCCATTTAACAAGTATTAACAGGTTAAAGGTTCCAAATGTTCAAAATGCTGCATATCACCGGTAGAAATAGTGTGGGTAAACTGCAAAAACGACAAACAAAAACAACACACAAAAAGAAAAAAAAACACAGAAGATTCCATTAGCATGTTTTAATCACCATTTCATTCCAAGATTGTCACAAACAACTCAGCAGTGCAGCAGTGATGCACAGAATTAGTGCCATGCCACGCTGGATATCATTTTATTGCCTCCTGCAATCTCCAGCTGCAATGCAAATAAAGCAATGAGGGAAAATATTTCTGCCTCGAGGATTTCCATCCCACATCATCTGACTATAGAAAATTCCTGAACCAGGGAGGAGAATCTGGGGTAGAGGAGACATAAAACTTCAGTTTCTTGCAACTAAAATTACTTTAAGAGAGCCCCTGAGATTATGAACTGACACACTCATACAGTCTGAGCTGCTATGTGCAAGAGTTTCCTCTCTCAGCATTTCATATCTAAGAACTCTTTAGAACTCAACTCATACATGCAAAAAGGTTCTGAATTTGAAGAAGCAAAGACATGAGTTGGAAGGGATGCTACCAGTAAGAAGAAAGAAGTTGTAAGCAGAGAAGACAGACAATTTACAGTCCATGAAAGATATCACTAAGGGGAAAAGACCCACTGAATTGACTTTAAAATTCACTGTAGTAAAAAAAAAAAAAAGAAATAATTTCAGATTTTCTTGCAAAATGAGAGAAGTACTGTGCCATGAGAAAATACAACAGAGGCTGCTGCAGAAATGTTCCAGATCCTGGAGAAAGACAGGACTACAGATCTTTCACAAGCCAGAATACATGGATTTTATGTTAGAACATATCAAACTGCCTTTTATCAGCAGCACTGCTCCCAGCTCCCCAAATTGAGGCTGCAGGTAGCTAAATCCAAACAGCTAGTCTAAGCAATCACAGTGGTATGGAGTGTCCAGGAACTGGGAAACTGCAATTATCCCAGTAGCAATTCAATACTGAAGCATGTTTTAGTGGGACAACTCTGACCAGGCAAAGACTTTGCAAGAGCAACAATCTGAGCTACAGTGTCACACTCTGGATTATTTTCTTTCCATCCCTAATTTATTCTCTTTCTCCCACCTCCCCACTTCCACTAGCTGTGTTTCATCCAACCTTTGATTTCAAAACTTTCTATAGAACTATTTAGCACAGGTCCTTTTGGAGGCTGTTTAAAAAACCTCACAGGAACAGAGTACTGACAAAACATGGTATTTCAATTTCACAGTATTCAGTCTTTGTTGTAGGAAATAAACTCAGGATTTCCAATAAAATTACCCACTCTGAAAACCTGGACTGTTTTCTAAGTGTGTAAAACCACTATAGGAAAATCCCTGCTGTTTTATTTCATAAATAGCTATGTCAGTGTTATTCCTATCAGCTTTACTCACCAGGAGAAGGCTTTAACAGGAGTAGGTCCTTACTGTAGCAGAATCCAATCTTTGTGTTCCTGATACACTGCCTATTCCAAGAAGCATGGGAAGACATGCAGAACACAGCATGCATGTTAGTTTTCAAAAAAAAAAAAAAAAAAACAAACCAAAAAGACAAACCTCCACAGCAATGGTGATTACAGCTTTGGTACTCACCCAACTCTAAGGTTACAAGTTAGAAAAGCAGAATTTATTTTACAGTTTGCATATTAACCACTTCTTGTTCCAGGGGCTAACAAAAAGAATTCTAAAATAAATCTGCTTGCCAACTAGCACAGAGAAATTAGCAAAGGTGACTTTGTAAGTTATTTACTACTTCATGTAGTTTGTAGTTATTAGATAATTCAAAAAGAAAGTGGTTTTACATGGTAAAGACTTAAATTCCTTTCATTTATAGAATTTTCCACATTAATTCTGGTAAATATTTTGTGCTAGTGACAGTATCTAATATTTAGAAGAGCTTACTGAGACTAGCATCAGATACAAAAATTGGTTTTTTAAGCTTTATGAATAAATAAGTTTTCAGAACCTGAGGCAACTCCAACAGATTGTATTCTCACCCTGTCAGTTCCAATAAATAAACATTTCATAAATATACGTTTCTACATGCCTTTTGTAAACTAAATTCAAGTCAAAGTTTATTCTTATGTTGCTACAAGATACGGTTTTTAAACAGACAAGATCCCTCATGTGACAGGTGATCAACTTCCACTTCCAGATGGGATTTTTGGGGTCTGCTTTTCTTGGTTTGGGTTTTTTTAATTCATATCTGTGTGTGCACATATATACCCAAAGATCATTAAGTACACAGCAATGAATGAAACAGTGATTTCAAGTATGGTCAGTACTGAAGTGACCACTGCAGGGGGGTTAATGCACCTGTTACTGAAGTTGTACTCATCTCAAAATTATCTGAGGGGATTGACTCACATTATTTTTTAATGCATTTTATTGCATTTCAGAAGTAGGGCTCATATTGGTCTAATTGCTGCTAATCAGAAATTAAGCATCAGGTGGATTAAAAGACTCCGACTAAGCTGTCATGTTATTTTCCTAAATTACATTTATTTCTAGCTATGACTCATTTTGTTACTCCAGTGATGTAAAAAACAAACTCCACCTCTAGTACAGCTTCCTGAAATGAAAAAGCACCCTATGGTTAAACACAGTGTTATAAATACAACCATGCACAAGGCAGATGCTTTAATGCAGCAAAAAGGTCATTCTGACTTAATTTCCCTGGAATCTCATGCAAAAAAAACCACATCATGCTTAAAATTATACAAAATCAATACCATCAATCTGCATCTTCTTTGGCTGCATAGAGGGTGAAGACATTGAGGTTGTAACTCTGAAATTTGCAGGAAGAGTCTCTGCTGATCCAGCAGCTAAACCTCTTATGTCCTTTGGTCTAAACTTCTTTCTCCACGAAGGTGCTCTCCTAAAGCTCTTATCATCATCCTGTCATATTGACAAACAACATTAGCAGTGCAAAAAATGTGGGATTGCTACTGACATTAAAAGGATTGCTGACAAACTTAAGTAAATGTATCACCACTGAAGGAGGTAATTGTCAGGAAATAAAAAGTGTATTAAATGCTGCATTGCCAAGCAGGATTTTCCTCAAGCACTTGGGTAAAGGTAACTTAATTACCCAAGTGCATTTTCCTTCTCCTATTAATATATTTGCATCTTTCAAGCAATATTCCCACCTCAGAAATACAATGCTGCATTTACTAAATACAGTTTAAGTCCCACTTCCAAAAACATCTTTGGCAGAGAAAGCATTGTGTCAATGCAAATATACCCACTGGGCAGTTCCATCTGACAACTTCCAGTTCAGAAACAGTTCAATCCTCTGAATGCTGTTTCACCTCAGATATTTTCCCTTGTACAATTAGGAGATAAGTGTCATTATTATTTGAAGAGATCTTCACAACCAAACTGCCCTGTGCCACTATAACAGAGCAAACATCTGTTCTCTCAAAGCTCCTTTTGCAGTTTGAAATCTCCAAGGAAAATATGTTAGGAAACCATCAATGCTTTCTGACAGGTTGTCAAAAACTTGGTAGAGCTTCACATGGGAACAGAGCTGTCAGGAGCTTCCCCTTCCCCTGTCCTCTTCCTCATCCCAGCACCAATATTTTTGAGACTGGTTTCCTGAGCTGGTTAACCACAGAAGGTTTTTGTCACTTCAGCCTTAATCTGGAACACTTTTGCCTACATGTGCTACCACATCAAATCCCATCAGCAGCAAAGATGAGGCAGCATGGAGCTAATTAAAGCTCTCCTGGGGAAGTAACACCAGCTTGAATCTGTCCACTGGAAAACTATCTCCTCTGTGCTGTGGGTGCACAGAACAGCCTCACACACAGAGAGTTTCACACTCATTTCTGTGCAGTTTATACAGTAAGATCACAGGCTGCCCAACAGAAATTACTTTGATATGTAAACACGCCTGTGGTCTATTGCACCAATATGAATCAAAATTAACATGAGATTTCTTAAAAACCCCTCAACACTCTTTAGGATAAAGTGCCTTTCTCTATCACAGCTTGTTCACTGCAGTGCTGGTCACTAATTTTACCATATTTTCAATAAAGAGAAATCAGCCCAAAGTGCTGCTATTAGACATTAACCATGCAAGCTAGAAAACAAAACTTACAAATCTTCCCAATACTTTCACATTCAAAGTCATCTTACCAAAATACACAAACCCTGCTGTATTTAGAAACCGCCAGAGACAAGGAGTTTCAAGTTAAGGTTTCTGTCACTATTCTGTCAAAAGCTTAGAAAGCTTCAGGCTAAATTCTTTCACTGAGCATTTCTGATAAAGCTTCCAGGACCATAAAATGGGTCAACAACTCGAGTAACTTACTTCATCAAGTCTTCTGTCAGTGCCCATAGCAAGAAGGTTATTGAATTCCCTCTCCAGAACAGCACGAGCCTGAAGTTTGTGGTATGAAAGAAATGGAAGTTAATGCCAAAAGATTAGTAATTAGTAACCTATACTGATTTAAAAAACTTGATAGGACCCCAATTGTTTAGTGCTTTCTTATCAGATTAATAAACATACCTCATACTTGAAATGTCAGTACTTGAAAAGTTACAATTTAATTGGTAACATACTAAATATTTAAGGAAGACTTAACAGCTCCCCTCTACTTGTGGCATGAAAATTCATGATTCTGCCTCAAACTTAATTATTTCAGAGTAAAAACTAGCAAACTACAGAACTGATGAGTTTCACACTACTGTTGTGAAGATGGGCCATGAGGAAAATATTCAAATAATTTTCTTCTCAAGCAGATTTACCAACGAAAATTGTTATTAGTAACTAGAAAACCATTAGAAAAGCACGATTTTAAGTTTTTGTCTTGTGTGACAATGGACAACTTTGCATTGCTAAAGTTTCTAGATGCTCTTAAGTGCAAAAATTGCTGAACAGCTCCATTGTTAACCTTCCTAGGAGGCCTCATCCTTGCTTACCTGTGTGTTTTGAGTGGGGATTTGCAGCAGGAGAGCTAATGCATTGTAATCAAAGGATTCATCTAAGGCCACAAGTGCACCATGAACTCCGCTCTCGAGCAGGTTGTTCGCATATTCCTTAAGGCCAATGGACATGACCCAGTGGATCATCCTCTCATTGCTCCACACAAGGACATCTAGGGAGGCAAAACCACAGTGCTAGGCTCATTGCAACACCACTTCTCTGAACCAAATCATCCACTGCCATGAAGGGGACAATTGGAGTGGAGGGTAAACATATTAGAAGTCTGATGGGAGACATTTCACACCAGAACTTAAATATTCCAAGGAGCAATCCTCTAGAGGCAAGAGATGCACCCACATTTGGGAAGTGAAAAACAACCCACCAGCCACAACCCTGGTTTGGTTGCTGCCAGTTAGTTGTGACTCCTAGGAATGATCTCAGGTGTAGTTAGCAAGTTAATCACCAAAAGGTATCAATGTTTAAAAGGAAAAGGAAGAGCAGACAAAGAACCTTCCAAGCAAGTTTTTATACTCATATATCAGAAAATACTTTGATATTAGGCAGGGAACAAAATTTCTATGGGTAATCTTGGAAAATTATGAATTCCCAACCCTGCTTTCTCTTATTCCTTCTCTCTTGTACAATAATGACCATGAATCTGGAAGATATAAATACCTAAGTCACTTGGATATTTTTTCATCAACTGCTGGGCATTAAAAGTTACCAGCCACAAACAGCAATAAGATTATGCAGATGTAAAGTTATGTCAAAATGGGGAAAATTAGAAAATGAGGACCCCCCCCCAACATGTTCTTAGCTTTCATTCTCCTAAAACTTCCTTTCAAATTTCAGAGCAGTATGAGTTTCAAAAATGTTCACATTTGTAGCAAAAGTAAATGATTTAATGATGTGCTTTATCATTCAGTGTTCAGGACCTACATCCAGACATGCCTTGTGCATTTAAGACTTGCTATTTTACAAATGGTTCCATCCTCTAAAGCCTTTTCTTTGTTAATGAACTTTTGAGTCTGATCAGTGAAAACATGGCAGAATCAGACTGAGGTGAAGACAATGCACTAACCCTTAATTTCATTCTGGCTTTCTTCTCTTTTTCTTTCTAGCTCTTTTCGATCATAATTCAGTCTTCGGAGGCACATAATTCCACACTGAAAACTGTTTCTGTTTGGACAAGAGAAAAAAAAAAGAGAAAAAATTATTTAGAGATAATGGAAACATTTAACTGTGGGTGACGTTTCCAGGTTCAACTTCCTCACCTGTGAAAGCTGTCTACCATTTTCAGCTGCCCACGCAGGTCTTTTTTAGTTAAGTGATCCAGCATCCGAGCATCCACCAGACATTCCATGAAGTAGCTGCGGTACTGAGGGAGCCCCAGGCTTGGCAGCCACTCATTGCCAATCCACTCATGGTTCATGTCACCATAGGCTAATGTCTGGTTTGAAAATAAAATAAGGGACAAGCTTATTGAAGTGGGAAACGAAAAAAGAAAAGCTGTTTTAGACAACCTATTTTAAAGAAACTGTTTATTTGATTTTTGGTCTGTAAAGCTAAGCACATCAGAATACTGAATACTACATGCGTGTTTTCCAAAGAAGTCACCCCCATGGCAAAAAGCAAGTTCAGATATTCACATCAGCAAGTAAAACTGACTCAATTTATACCAAGAAATAGCATGACAAAATATGCAAGAGCTAATAAAATTTTACAAGAGACTAATCGACGTGGTTGGATAGCAAAAGCCATAGAATTTCATTGTGTTGAGATGTTGTAAATTCTCTCTTGAAAACTAGGGGGGAATCTTATTTTTCATGTGACTTTTTAAAGAAAAGATATCATAAAAGTAACTGCAGGCCTTTTAATATACTGTTTTCAGAAACTGATAAAACCCTGCTACTGAAGAAAAAGCCATTATAAATGCTAGTCCTTATCCTAAAAGAGACTTTCCTCATTACGGTTTTCATCTGCAAATCACTCATCATTTTTTTAGAGAAAAAAAATCTATAAAGATGAGTGTTTGTAACTACATTCCTAATCACTCCTTGGGCAGCAATACCCAGAAGCAACATTTTTTCAAAAGTATAATAATTCTAATTTTTATGTTAAAAGTCAAAACTTGTATTTCTCCTCTAGAGGAAGCACCTTCCAGAAAGGAGCAAGGCCACAAGAAATGCACCTCTCCAAGCCATAAGAAGGTGGAAGAGTGAAAGAGCTCCTTACTCTGGGTCTGTTATCACTGACAATCAAGAAATGAGTAGCTGAGATATAGTTAATTGGACTTAAACCAGGTTTAAGCTGGAGGGCAGTCAAGCAAGAACCCATGCTGTCCAAAGATATGTATCATGGATAAATCCCAAGTTTTGTTTCTATCCCTGTATAAATACTCAGCTACATCAATGCCTCAAAATACAATTAGGATTTGCCACCACTTTATAGCAAAACAATCAATCAAGGGGGATTACAGAATTAGTGCATAGAAATCTACTTAACCATCCAGGGCCAGGTTATCTTGTGTCACACCTGGGATGGTGGCTTGGTTGGACAAGGACTTTCTGCACAGAGCAGATATTCCTCTTTGAATTCTGGCTTCCTCAGAGAGCCATCCCCCACCAAAATATTAAAATATTTAAACCACACGTATTTCCCAAGTGTGCATTGTACAGAGACAAGCCTGCAGCTTCCCCCTCTCCCAATCCCCAGGTCACACCCAGAATCATTAAAAGATGCTGGCCTAAAGGAAAAACAGATTATTTCATGCTGTAATGATTGTGACAGTTTACATACAGTCTGTAATATTAGATAAAGTTTCCAACCTGAGCCCAGCTTCCCTCCTCATCTTCCTGTTAGGTGGTTAGGAAAGCAAAAGAACACACACATATTAATGGTTAAGTTTAGTAATGAGGTCAAAAAGTTAATGGTGCACTGCAAGAATCTAAATCTACTGCATACCAAAAAAATCTAGATAAAGCAAGCATCATGCAATGTAAAAAATTATACATAAGGCACTTATTTTTGTATGAGAAGTTGCGAACCCCATCTACTGATTTAAGTTTTCTGGAGAGAAAAAATTTCTGCACCAATAATTCAATTTGTCTATTTGTCAATCAAGTCAGAGCTCCATTTTACAGATTAGAGTTTTGTTTACAATCTTATCAACGCTGATTTTTTTTTTCCTCCCTTCTGGAAAAAAGCTATCAAGATGCAGATTACAAGGTTAGTAATTAGAAGAAGCAATGATCCATAATTTTAGTGCATTAATTTGAAGAAAAAAAAAAAAAGGCAAAAAAAGTACTTGATTCAAATGTTCAAGAAGTAGGAAAAGCACTCTAAGGTAGAGAAGTGGCAACACTGTAAACTAACCGTTTGTTGTGTGGCTGTAAGATTTTCCATCTCTTCATGTGTTACCCAGACATTTCCCGTGGTCTAATATGAGCCCACAGGGAATCAATCCCATCCAGTGAAAGGAAAGCAGTAACAAAGAGGAGAGGTTGCAGAACAGATAAGCAATCGGTACATGTAAGGAGCAGGCATGGGCAAAGCAATGGTCTCTAGGTCAGGTACAGCTACTGACAGTCATGGCATGCAATAAGAGCCTACTCACAGGGATCAACTTCCCTCACAGGTATAAACAAAACTGAGCAGCAGAAACAGCTGACAGGACTTAATTAATGGGTAAACACTTGGCTCTGCTCTTACCCGAAAAATACATTTGTAATCTAGCACATAACCCCTGGAAAAACTTTAGACTGCAGGGCAGACAGACTCATGAGAGAAAATTTCCACTAAGTGCCTAAATTTAGGCACTTATAGTGGTCACTATAGAGATACAGGTGACTCCTCTATCATGTAGTCTGAATTAATTGGAGTTAATCACTTTATAGATGCATTAAAAGAGCTGCCAACTATCCTACAAATATCTGTGCACACTTGTATACTTCATCTGTATTTTAAATTCTCTGGAGACCAAAAGATGAGGCAAATAACACAAACTCTCAGTAATTTGCATTACGTACTTAGACTGAAATAAATTTATCTTTTCCTCAAGAAAAAAAATTGCAGTTATTCCTTTAGTTAACTTCCATGGAAGGAAGGAACAGTCTGTATTTAAGGAATGTGTTCCTTTCCAGAAATTCTTAGTAGAAGTTCAGTTCTAAGTTTACAGTCAAATGTGGGGAAATTCTAAGTGTTTAATGCTGCACGAGTTTTCTTACCGTCCTTGAGGTGGGAGGGGCAGAGGGGCTGGTTAGGGACATGATTTCCTGGATGGCCAGGCGGAGCTTGAGCCTGTGCAGGGGATTGCTGATGCCGATTTCCCGCTGGATTTCCGTGTCAGACAGGGCTGACATGATAGCACCGCTTTTCACATTGGCTCGGCAGGCAGCCACGTACCAGGCTGGCATCCCCACCCACAGCTGGAACACAGAAAGAAAGAAGTAAGCAGGATATGGAAAACATTCCTGCCTCCAAACCTGCAGAGTCTATACAAGTCTGTATATTGAGGGGACTTTTTATTCATTTTGGGAGGACCACTCACCTCCAGCCACACCACCACAGTGGGCCCATCCCACTGTGCAAAAGGCAAACCCTGTCTTCTGGCTTCCTCCAGCAACTCGTGCCTACAATTCCAGAAAGAGTCATTAGTTATAATGGATGTCACAATTTCAGCACTATACTAGTGTCACTACCTTCTTTCCAATAGTTAACTTATTCCTTTTCCAACCAGCCTTTTATGATCCACCCCCTCAAGCAGGTATAGCACATCTACAAGCACTACATAGGGATGAAAGCTGAATTGGGCAGGAAATCTGGGAACAGCAGAGGTGCGGATCTTGCCTTTCAGAACTTGGTGTCTGAAGCCTCTACTTGATACTCTACCCAACACTCCCAACCCAAAATGGAGATGTCAGGCCTACTGGCAATCAACATTCTCAACTGCTCAGTTTTCTGCCCAGAAAAGGTGAACCAAAGCAGTCATTTCTCCTCAGCGTGTGCAGATTTGAAACCTGTGGCAACACATGAATAGATCAGACATGCCAGTCCATCAGGCTATGAGGGCTGGACACTGGGCCAGCAACCATTTCAGTGGTGAACTTCAGCCTGTCAGAACATCAGGCACAGAACTGCCAAACATAACTCTGGTTATGTGAAGCTATCTTGACAGGCTGTGTACTGAAACTCAGCTTTCATCTTCCCTGATGACACCATTTCCTTTGTTGTTTTGAAACAGATGTGCCTGAAGTTTAATACTGACAATTCAGCTCCCAGAGACAATGGATGCTCACAACGTCCCTATAAATAGCTGCCCAAAATGTACAATAAACCAAAGGACAAACACTAGAACTGTAGGTAAAAGCAGGCAATGCTACTTGGATATGCCTGGCTGAAAACATGGAGAAAGCCTAAAAAAAAGCATTTTTACACTGCCTTTGAAAGCCAGCTGTCTATGGTTAAATCTTCACTCATTCCCCTTGGAAAAGCTGAAAAAACAACTTCCCCTAATTATTCTGATTTTACTGTTCTTTATTCATGCCTGCCAGCAGAATTAAGCTTTGCAGCAATACTAGAGAGTCAAGATCCTGTATTATGTATTTACCATTTTCTCACTATTTAAATCAAATAAAATCTCTTCGCCTTTTGAACTGTCTCACTGGATAGATCTAAGATGATAACATTTTTAGAAGTTATGGGAATTAAAATACACAAGGTATCTTGAAGTGTGATTACTGACAGACAAGGAGCTTTTTTTGCTACTCCTACAAAATGGAAACACAGCATTCAGCTCTTTTAGACACATCTGAGACCCTCATGTTATATTGGTAGGTAATTAAATATTAAAAAGCAATCAATGAAGCAATAAATATACTAGCAACTGCTTTATCAATAGACAGCACTTCTGCACCTGCAGACCAATAAATTCCTACTGCTCTGGAAGAACCTCCCAGTAATTTGTCCTAATTAAATGTGCTTCCCAGGAATGGGAAAAGGAGAGGAAGGAAGGCACTGCCAGACAACTGGTTACAAATCATCATTCTAGGTACTGTTTTGGGATCCATCCATTAAGGTGGAACAGTGTTCAGCAGTCAACAGCTCAACTGCTAAATTTCACTACCAAAGAAGACTATAAAAGCTCAGACATATTTGTACACTTCAAAAAGATACATATATTTCTAAATTGAGAATAAAGGATTAGCTATTTCCCTGCTACTGTGGAACATACTACATTCACTCCACAATTAATTAGCCCTGAACATATTTAGTTCTGCTTCTCTTTGTTGTTTAAAGATTTAAAAATTAGAAAAATAAATTAATAAGGTCATATGAAACACTGTTTGGTAAGAACAGAATAAAGGGCTTAATACTGTATTTGCCATAAAGGAACACACAGTTTTTTCCAAGTACTTCAGCTTCCAAATTGGTGTCTATGCCTTCCTTTTTGGTGGCTGTATTGCATGGAGTTCAGAGAGTATCAGTGTCATTTCTGGTTGTTTTGTAAGTCTGATTTGTATACTTCATGGTAACCATGAACTAGTGAATCCTTTGGAGCAGAATACATGGGATACATCAAAAATGTAAAGAGAGGTTATGGATGCCAACTTGAAACTCATGGTGGTATTGTAGGCAGAAAATGATTGTGTGATGGAGGAAAACACATAAAAATAGAAACAAATAAAGAAAAATGTGCTCATGAGATGACTTTATGCAGAAATTATTCAATGGATCCAAAGAGGAAAGCAACCATGAAGTGGAAAATTAATTGCAGAATTTGTTCATGTGCAGTAAGAGATAAAAACTTGCTTGCACAGGAAATCCTTAACCCCAAAGCTCAAGATGTAGCCCAGGCACAAAACATCTCATAGGAAAAATTCAGAAGCAGCTGCTGTTTCATTTGCAAACGATGCATTGATGTTTTTTTTTCTACAGCAGGAAACTTCCCTCTTCCCACTATTCCCTTCAAACTCCACCAAGACACTCGCTGCATTCCAGCAAAATGTGATCAGATCCAGAAAGATCACAACTGCCAGGCCAACTGAGTCTCACAGTCCAACCATTACACCAACTAGGAAATGAGCAAAATCTGGCCCCATATCTTTGTGAGGAAAAAAATATTGCAGTGGTGTCAGCACTGTTAACAGACAGTACAAACCTGGCCCTGTGAAGGATAAAAGAACACCAAAGGAGTAGCTGGCTACTAGAATAACTCCTGTGTGACAAAACCAAGGTATAGATGTCTGGAGACTTAGTTAAAAACATGGGTGAGCTTCCCTTGGAACAGGAGCCCAAACATGCTGCTGCAAGGGAGGAAAGCTTGTTGTTAGATGCATTCCAGAGGCACCTCACAGCAGCTGGGGAAGACAAAAGCTGTGGTCACAGGGAGTGAGAAATCATGTCAAAGCTGCAGGTGGTGCCTGATGCAGCAGAGACTGCACAGGACTGTCTAGAGACCGTGTGAAGTATCTGTGTTCAGAAGGGCTCTTGGCAGGAGAGCACACGCTCACCCCACAAGGAAAATAAAGCAGCCCGGAGCAACCTCACTTTGTCACTGGATGAAGACAGCATGGGAATGCATACATGTGGAGCTCATAGCCAGAGGTTTGAAATGCTGTATCCCAGATTTCTTGGATGGAACTGAAAAGGACTGATTTGGAAGAAGTTCAGAACACAGTAAACACTGCAATGTGGGTAAGAGAGTGATACTGATGGAAGTGACAGAGCTTCAGGGTGTATAAAAACTGAGAAGCAACAGTTGTAAAACATGAGATGGAAACAGGCAGAGCATCAGGGGAGAGTTAATACCCTTATTTGAGACTGAGTTTGGGAACATAGTGTTTCATATGTGAGTTACTTTAAATTTAGGGTTGCCTTCCTTTTTGATGAATACAGTACTAAGTTGGTTGTGCTGTACACAGAAAAGCACACAGTTGTGGCAAACACTGTCACTACCACAGCTCACACAGGAGGTGAACACAGCACTATGAACAACTTCGGTTTAGTAAACACCGAATGACACTTTTACAGAAATACATCTGCCTTGGAAACACAAATACCTACTACTGCTAAACAACTTTCAAATCCAAGATTAGAAAACTAATTCTAAGAGGGTTTAATATTTCCACTATAAAAGCTCACGCCATGCAAATTAAGACAAGACACCAAACTAGCTTTCACACTGAACTAGGTGGCACTGGATTTATTTCAGCAACACATTTCTTTTGAATCTAGTATTTCCTCTCATGATCAGACTTTTTTGAAGAAAGATGTTTTAATATATTGCTAAAAAATCCAAATGGGTTTTATCATACTTGCACAACAATTCCAATAAAAATAAATACAAACTTACCCTGTTTTTGCACTACCACATCAAATGGTAAAGAAAAGGAAAATAAAATAATGAAAGACAAACAGAAAACTAGGATTAAACTGAACTCAAAAACCAGACAAATAATGTGTACTGTAATTTAATTCTGTAACTATAAATAGGTTTTTGTTAGCAGACACTGAACCCTGCCCTCAGTCTGTTTGTGCACATGCAAGCAGAAATCAGAAAGATAAATGAGCAAATAGGGATTAGAGACAGCTATAAATAGAATGAACTGTCATTGTTCCAAGCATTCAGGTAGCTGGAATTCTTTTTGCTGAATACAAGGTTTCATAAGCAAACCATCAGTCAGAATTTGTTTTAACCCACCCTCTTCCAGTATCAGATTGAAAAGCAATTTAGAGCAGCTTTACCACTTTTTTGTTTTGATAAGGAGCATCTCAAGAAGGCAGCAAGGAATCTTTGACCCCTTGTGGTAACATTGCTTCCCATGTTCAGAAAACCCCTCAGGATTCTGAACAGTTGCATGAAAGCATATTACTTGGATTTTTCAAATGATAGACCCTAGATTGCATTAATTTCACTGCATGGTAGAGAACAGAAGGTTCTCGGGAAACCTTAGAGCCTTTTCCAGTACCTAAAGGAGCTGTGAAAGAGATGGAGAGGGGCTTTGGAAGAGCTATGGAATGCAATTCCTAACTAAAAGTTTTTATTTGTTTAAAAGAGACAGCTGCCTTTTAAGCCATCTGCAACATGCAGCCATAAATTATATTTTAAGTAATACCAGTAAATTTTTCAAAAGCAAAATGTTTACAAGAAAAGCCATGATTTATCTGCAACTGCACTTCTTGCATTTCTTAAAGCAAGACAATATGGATTGTTTCACTTGAGAATGAAACTTGTGGCTGGTATTGAGAAATACCTATATTGCTCAAAGAACAGACCTTACCACCATTTATATATGACCAGACTAAAACTATTTATTTAACCAAGATGTGGTATGACTTTAAAGCACTGTAGAAAAGGGAAAATATCAGATCATAATAATATATGATTGCCTTCAGAGCAGCAGTCTGAAGAAAAACAGCTGAGCTTTCTGTTATCCAAATAAACCCACATTCCATTCTGACTTTTCAAACCAACACACTGCTGGTTTTCATTAGCAGCCACCAGGCATTATTCTTATTAGTTAATAGAACTTAGGTACTGCAAGAAATCCCTCTCAAAGGAAAAATTAGCACCCTTTCTTTTCAACATTTACTGTCTGTCTTCAGAAGGGAAGGGAAGTCTGATCTTCATCATTTTTTGACAGCTGAACAGAACAGAAGCAGCAGAAGTTTGAGGTATATGGCTCAGCACTGGGGGGAAAAATGCAAGGAATGCCTGATACTACTTATATAAATATGACTGTTTCCTGTATTATCATATAAGCATCAAGTCAAGATTTCCACCAGTAGCAGTAACTGTTTTTCACCTATGATTAGCCTTTGCTTCATCTGTTCCAAGTCTGGAAACAGCAAAGCATGCAAACAGACACTCCAAAGGTGAGCAGTAAACTAAAGATTTTCTGGGACAGATGAAAAAAATTCTCATGACTCAGGAAAAGGTAACTCCATACAAAGTGCCATAAAAAAAGGAATAGTCACAATTGATTAAAAATAAAAGAATAAAAAAATAAAGAAACCAGGATTATATGCTGCAAGGAAAAAGATTTCACCAGACAATCTTAAACAGAAGTGAAAAAATTAGTGAAGAGAGAAGCTGCCAGCAGCAGTAACACAAAGGGATGGAGAAACAAAACAGAAAATTCATACACAGGGATGTCTGCACACAGTTTTCTCGTGCTTCCCTTCTGTCAATTCCTCCACACTCCGGAGCAAAGAACAGCCAAGGGCAACTTTGGGAAATTTCCCATTTGAATTAAAGGTACTTTTAATTTATTATATTTTATAATTCCCAAAGCAGGTATGAAATATAATAATTTAGGGAGAATCTGGTTGAGAGTCCACTTCTATCTCCAAATTTCTTTTCTCCTGTTTCTTTATTACAGTAGACCAACTGTAAATTTTCTGCTTAAATTCTTTTCAAACTTACCATGACCTATGCTGCTATTAATGTTCTGGAAAAATAGTAGAAAAAATAAATTTACAGATGCTTCTTAGCCATAACACCATATTAGGAAAAAACACTCCAAAACCAAACAAAAAATAAAACCACAGCATTTTAAAACAAAGCAATACATAAATAACACAGGATTAAAAATGTTTGATAACTTACTTCTTCTGCATTTTCCTGTTTTTCTCTGCCTGACCTCCAAGTTTGCTGAGACCTAATGCATCCTGAGAGGAACCATCTGCTTCTCCCATGCCACCTACAAAAAACACCAAACTCAAGTCACTCTCAATTTTATCCTTTGTAATATTACTGATCAGAAATGTGCAAAACCAAACCCCCAAGGCCATCTCTCTCACTGTGTAAGAAAAAGCAAACCAACCTTGTCCTAGAGATTCCTTGCTTCCTTGTCCAGGTCGTCCCTTTTCCTTCTTGCCAAACAGGCGGCCAATGGAGGATTTGATTCCCTTTTTTTTGGGGGCTTTGTGAAGGGAATCTTGGCTGCTGTTACTGCTACTAGGATTACTTGTTTGCCCGTCTTGTGAACCTGTTGAACTGTACCAAAAAAGAGAGTCAAAGGAGCCCATGTACAGCAAATGCACTAGAGACAAGTTCAGGGTTCTGTGCAAGTTAATCTAAGTTCAGAACTCACTAATGACATTTAAGTTCAGCTTTTATGAGTTACGAAATGTTGAAGGCACAAGCTCCTGACAGAAAGGGGCAGACAGAGTTTGAAATACTTGAGTGGAATCCATCTCAGACACTTAGGTACTTTGAAAAGAGCATCTGTCAATCAAAGTGATGGCAATTTTGTGAATTATTTCTCAATTTATAACTAAATTACATCTTAAAGAGTTAAGAGCTACATTTTTCATATCCCAAGCATGGAGCAAACTTAATGCAGACTTTGAGTACCAAAAGAATTCCCATGAAGCCATTCTTAAGCATTAGCAGAATTTACATTCCTAATGTTTATGAAACACAGTCACCCATTCATGTGTTCACACTCCTGACTTCTGAGAAACACTTTAACACTCAGACTAAAATCCTACAGGCTGAACAGCTCTGCAGTTTGGGGTTTTATTCTGATGCTGTGGAACACTAAATTCCTGGTAGTTCTGAGTGATTTCCAGCTACTTACTTCCTAATGTCCCTGATATCTTCGTGGCTCACTGTGTGCAGAGCTCCTTTCTGGACTCTGTCCAGACGCAAAGACCGAGGTGATGAAGGTGGTGATGTCTCACATTTTATGGTGGTTTTGTCGTCTCGTACCTCTTCCCTGGAAGCTGGAGACTGATGGAAAAGGAAGGAAAACTTCAGGGGCAATACAAAAGCACAAAGGCAATACCAGCACTACACAAAATAGTGAAAGGAAGAATCTTATTTCAGTGTTAAAGGATTACTCTTGCCCTTACCATTCTGCAGTTGCCTGTTTTTTGCTTGATTTCTTTCTGAATTTCTTGTTACCTTCAGTGACAAACTACTAAATTCAGTGTTAGCTACTAAAATAATAAATTAGCACTTATCTTTTATTCATTTATAGGGCTATCTATAAGAACTAAAGTAATGCCTTCAGCACCATAAAATGAATATACCTGTCCCCAGTTTAAGGAAGTGCAAAGACAAAAAAACTAGAGACCTGTGGAAAGAATTAATAACAAGATTATTGACTCTGAGAAGTCAGTTTCTACACACCTGTGCGCTACCAAAGTTTGAGTAACAGAAAGAACAACTTATTTGTGTGTACACTGACAGCTTTTAAAATTAATACTGAAGCACGAAGACTGCAAAGCAGTGGTTGCAAACAGAAAGCAGCACAACAGTCCTCCACACCAGCAAAAACAGGCAAACAAACACAAAAATCCACAAAACAAGCCCACACTTAGGCTAAAATGATAAACCATAATCTTATTACAGAGCTACCCTGCAAATGCTTTATGCTCCTGTTATGCACTAATGAGTTTGGGGATAGGGAGGGAGATGAAGGGGCACACCATGAAATAAACTAAAGATTTTTACCTTTCTACGGTGTTTCCTTAAATCACTAGGCTGACAGATGCATGCAAAGAAAAGAAATTTGGAAAAGCTGTATTTATTGTAAACTGTAGCACAGACCTGAGACAACTAGTACAGACAAAATATCTTAGGGAGAATATAAACAACAATTACAACAATGGCACAGAGAATTACTGGGTATGAAGTACTCCTTAAATCACAGATTACTTAAATGCAACCCTGAAGTGAGGAAAAGGAAACAAAAAAATAAACACTTAGAGTTGGTTATCTACCAAAGTACCAGAGATGTTTGAGTGTACTGGGACCATTGGCAAATTAGCACAAAATATGTGCATCAAAAAAAAACCCAATAAAGTGCGTGGGGGTGCAAGGTGTCGCTTTGAAAAAGTGAGGACCTGCCTTGAACCTCCAGATCAGCCACAGCAGCCTTAATAAGTCATCTACACTCGTCCCTCCTCACAACCCAGGGATTCCTGCAGCTGTTTCCTACACTGCACAAAAAGCAGCCAAGACTTAAGTAATGTCAGACTGCCAACAATAGCTCATTTCTATACAGTAACAGGATTCTGTTCTTTTTACAGCTTTCAAGTACTGGAATGTTTGAGCAGGAATTCACCACCGCTTTTATTTTATCCTTCCTCCACTGTACCTCACTCCCCAGGGAGTGCTCACCTCTGCCACTGAAGAGAGCAAGACTTAGACAGCTTATTCAGACTGATGCTGACAAAAGTTAAATTTAGGTAATTTGTTTAATAGCTCTCATTATTTAAAACGGCTGTAGCCAAAAATAAAGTTGGTCCCCTTTGAAGTGGGACAGGAGGGAGAGATGTAGTTTCCCTCCCACAAAGGATAACTTTTAATAGTTTTTGATTTAGAATACATGTAAATTTTGCAGCATTAATATGGAAAGTTTTGTTCAATCTGACTGTAGAGTACTACATGAATGAATCATAAGTTCAGTGAATTATAGAAGGGACCTTTAAAGATGATCTAGTCCCTGCTCAAGTTCTTGACAAAGCACTGCAGACTCATTTCACCATTACCGGATCTTTCATCCATTAAATCTGATGAGCATAGAAATGAAAATTGTTCACCACATGGAATGAACTGCCCACAAGGACTGCTCAAGAGAGCTGTAGGCTTCACCATTTATCATGCTGATGCTTTTTAATCATGAGGGGATTTCATCTGACCGAGCTGCATAACCACTGGCATTAAGCTAATTTGCCTACATGATCAAAAACTAATGCAACTCTCTACTAAAACATTGGAAGACACAGCAGAACTCAGTCTAATAATTCATGACAGCTCTTCCTAAAGTTTCTAGAAAGCTCTTGTTCTCTAATTCTTGATTTCAAGCTTTCATGAATCAGTTGCCAGCTACCAAATCCATCAAACAACTGCAAACACCACATCAAGTGACCTCTGTTAGGATCTAAATGCACTATTAGGATCTGAAGTGAACTTAATTACAGTTCACATTTTTTCAGATACATTGGATTTCTGACAAGACATGTTCCCCTGATCTAGTTTTGGGGGAGAGAGCTACTTAAATTTGTATACAGTTTTCTGCATGCATCTCTAGCTTAACTAATTATTGTGAAATAGAAGATAGAACACTCCATAATCTGAATTTTGATAGCTCTTTTTTAGAAGACGACTGCTTGACCCTGGATATATAGCTAGAGCTAGTACAATGATTTTTATTTTAATTCAAAGAAGGAAAAATTATTCCCTTTTATGAAAATAATAGACTTTTTGGTATATGTACACATTAATTTTAAAAAAACAGCAAAATTACTTAGCTGAAATACTTGGTTTTAACTGTTCATTTTACTTAAATTTATGTAAAAATAAGAAAGGGGGAAATTTGTATCTTAATTTTACAGATATGTTTTGTATGCGTAAAACAGCTCCTAGAAGGATTCATCTTCCTCAGCAGTAATAGGAATGTCAAAAGAAGGAAAACATCTTTCTCTACTCACTGAATTCCTAAGACTAAACTACTTTATCACCTACTAGGTCTAACATACTTCTTTTACCTATCAGGCTTTAATTGCCTAAAACAGAACACTAGCACTCATTAATATTCAAACAGCAGTGATACCGTCCCAATCTTCAAGATTAATATGCAAATAACTTTTTAGCTGAGTGTTTAGTGGAATAGTGGACTGCTAAAAATAAAGTTTAAAGCAGAAGGAGAAAATGGTTGAAAAGAAAACATTATTTCTTCTAGAAAGAAGAGTCTGAAGAAAGACCATAACAACAGAAGGAATAAATACTTAGGCATGAGATGTTGACCAAATAATAGACTTGAGCTCTGAACGTTTTTTCTAATCATTATGTATCTTACACTTTTTATAGAAGTTGAAAGGAAGCAGTAGAAAAACCTAGAGAAAGGAAAAATACAGCTGAGTAAGCAGGAGAGGAAGGGGCAACCCATTTCCTAGAGAAAAGGAACGCTCTCCCAAGGAAACTGCAGGCAGTGGATACCCACCAATGTCATGATGCCCAGCCTGTCCACTTCCCTGGCCGGGCTGTGTGGGATGCGCCGGGGTGTGGAGCGGCCACTGCCGGGCGGGGAGGAGCCGGCCAGGGCCCCACCGTAGGCGGGGGGGATGGAGCCCAGCGAGCGGAACCGGCCATGCGCCTCCAGGCTGCCACTGCCCACACGGCTCTCAATCTCCTCTGCGCGCTGCTCCGTGTTCTCCTTCTCCTCCTGGATCAGTCTGAGGGAAAAAGAGGCTCAGAGGAACGTGACATTCCAACAAGGACCATGCAAACAAAATGAGCCATTGAAAGAAGCAGCACTTAGCAGAAAAACATGGAAAAATTACCATTTTCCAACATATTTTTATCAAAAGCTCCATGGCAGACAGGCCGTACCTGATCTCTTTGTTGATTGCGTCCAACTGTTCCTGCAGCATTATGGCCAAAGTCTGAGCATCAGCCTGACCGCTTGGTGACAGCAGATCAACTGAGCTGAAAATGGTCTCCCTGTCATCCTCCACGTCAGACACATCCACATCACTTTCAAATGCTTGTGCCACATTTGCCAAAACACTGGCTTGCTGGGCCCGCTCCCAATCCTGCTCGTTCAGGGTCTGAACCTACAAGAATCCATTAAATTAATAAATCCAAGCTCAAATGGGAAAAACATGACATCTCTACTGCTTATCAAGATGTTCAAAGTAATTTGTATAAGTCCTCTTACATGCTGAACGCATCCATCAAGACAGCAGTGTTTAGAGAAATGTAAAAAAAAAAAAAAGCTGTAGTGTAGGAAACCTTAAATTTCATTTAACTGCAAGATGCAGAACAGCCTCATTGAATCAATTATAACACCACATATTTTGACTATACATGCTTTTAATTACAGTAGAATTTTGCTGTCGATTCCATGGGAACTATGGAATCAGTTTTATGTAATGAGTACTCATGTGCCCCGAAAGGAAAGGGAAATTGATTGCAGAACAGCAACATGTTAGATTAGAGCACAGACACAAAAGTAGGACTGCTTCAAGTTGCACTTTACAGGTTTTTTTTAAAAAAAAAGATTTAATTTATAAATAATTCAAAAACAGAACAACAACAACAACAACAAACCAAACAAGCAAAAAAACCCACCCAAAACCTAAAAATAAACCCCAACAAAACAAATTTGGAGTTCCAAACCATAATCTTGCAACTATTTGGTAACAATTAAAAGGATCAGCAGCTGTTCATGAGTTGGTAACACAAGATCTATAAAATCCAGGAGTTTATTGCCAGGTCCTCCCAATTCTAAAACCTCCCTGCATGTGATTTGCCTCATGTACTGAACAAATCCCTCTGTTTTGCTGTCACAGTGTTATTTGTATTTTCCCTCCTTACCTTCGAAGGCTCGTCCCTGAGAGCAGCCAGACGCCCCTTCTGGGGCCGCCTCAGCACAGAGGAGGTGCTGTAGGAGTCTGTGTGGGTGTCCCCCACAGAGGAGGGTGGCACAGGGAATCTGAAATCTGGCCTGCTGCAACACAAAACAAACATTTCATCCTTACACAGGGAGAAAGAAACAAAGTCAACCAAAGGATTCCTCTTGTCCCACCACTGCCAATTGTTTTTAAGCAGCATAAAAATTATTTTACATGATGTATAAAAATGAATATTATAGCTATGACTAAAGTATTTTGGTTTCTAATATACAAAATTGTATTTAGCGTACTGACTTTAAAGAAAATAGGAAAAAATCAAACTACTGCTGGTACCTATGATGAAGTGATGTGGCTCTGAGCCTCACTTGGTCGTTTTCAGCCCTTAATGCATCGACATTTAATACAAGTTGATCCTGGAAAAACAATAGAAAAAACATATAATATGCTTTTTTAAAAAAATAATATCAAATACAAATTTATAAACTAACATTTAGGTTTTTTAACCTCATTTCTCTGAAACTTGGAAATAACAGATTTTAAGCTATACCCTTTAACTATTTAAATATTGTTTTTGCTACACACAGTACAGCACTGTCACCAAAAAGCATCCCAGAATAATTCTGTTGCATCTCTACCCTCACTCTAGTAATAACAACATGTATTTTTAAAACAGCTATTAGTTCACATGCTACTAAGTTTATTATAATTAACTGATGATAAGGAACAAGAAGATTTGTTCAAGCTCTCTGCAAAAAAGGATCTAAAAGCATTTCCTTTTAACTTGGACATTTTTACATGCTCTAGAAACTCTGAATTTAACAGCAGAGAAATACAATAAATAAGAAAACAACAAAAGCCTAAATAAAAAGTGGCTGATAATGAACATCTGTAAGGAGGGACCTTTTCATTTCCAGGACAAGCAGAACACCAGACAGCTGCTATTGCAAAGGAGCAGCCAAATCTAATAAATATTCCTCCCTCTGCTCCCCAGTCCTTAAAATTTAAAAAGTTAGCAGTTGCAGAAGCATTTTGTGATATTCAATGCTTTGAGAAAACCTTATGGAAAAATGCCCAACATGAAAAGTATTTCTCATTTGGTTTTGCTGTTCAAGGTCACAGGTACAACAGTATGAAAATTCTACATGTCTCCAAACTTTGGCCAATTGCCAACACATCCAGGCACTTCACATATTCAAAAGAGTGTTAAGTCTTGGACTAAAAGGTTATGAATTACCTCTAAAATACTCCTATAACTGTGGCACACAATAAGCAGTAACAGCTCCTTTCTCTTAAACAGAGCAGGAAATGTTAAGTTTCATGGGGAATTAAAATCTGTTCCTGCTATGTAGCAATGCAGCAACTAAGTCCCAAGATAATATTTCAGAAATGCAGAGTCTACCTTTTCATGCTGAAGTTCTTCTATTTGTTTCTTTGCATTTTCAATTTCTCGAAGAAGTGAATTCTGAAATGAAAGGCATCACAACTTAAGACACTCATTAGTTTTACACTTTTAAAACCATAATCATAATTGAGTATCAAAAAAAAAAATGCAGTCAACATTACACAAATACATCTTAAATTATAGATCTTTGATTGCTTCCATCATTTCACTTTGATTATAGTTGGAGATTTATTCTTCCAGGTATACAGCCCTCTAACTAATGAATTTAGTCACAGTACTAGTTCCATAAATCTTTAATAACAGTAGCAGCCTTTTAAAGCTCCATTTGTCAGTCTAACTAGTAAAAAAAAGGAAAATTATGCAATAACTCAAAGTAATTCAAGAAAGACCTCGTGATCAGAACAAAGTCTCAAAATGTTACCTGCATGTTTCTTCCCAACTTAGCATGAAAGAATGAGCTGGAAGCCTCAACAAGAACATAGTTCTAGAAGCTGTTAACTACAGTAAAGGACAAGAAGATTTTCCTCATTATTTGCAAATGTAGTTATGTTTTGGAAGATAAGAGAGAGTCAGGGTCAACCCTCAGACACCACCTATTCAAGCATTATGCTTGAATGCAAGAGGAAGCAAACATTCAGGAAGACTCTGGAAACACCATATGTGTTCCAAAGCATTTTATTGCTTTTCCTCAAACATTTCCCCAGATGGTCATTTCACCCTCTAGTAAAAGAAACCAAATATATTTTAATCCAAGACCAAGCCATTCAAAGTCAGCATCAAACAAAGTGCCACTTCAGAAGACATTGCTTTGCTGGATGCACAGTAAGGGACCTAACTTCAAGATGTGCACGGAAGAATAATCCATAAGGACCTAGATCCACAAGCAGAAGGGAAGAAAGGAGTAAAAGGTGTGTTAGAAGAGATGAACCAAGTGCAGGAGAAAGCTCCAAGATGTGCACTGACAATGCAGGAACAGCCCATTTACACTCATATGATGAGTCTCAAAATGAATGACCTGAGAAGAAAAGCAAATTGCAGGAATCCCACAATGACTCAGGGGAACTGGTACAGCCAAAAGCAGTAGGAAACAAAGGAAACTCAACTGGAAAGGTTCAAAGTTCCAGTGCTTTAGGTTTCCTGTATTACACTGGATGAGCCTATTTATGCCATCTGCACCAGTTAAGTGAAAAAAAGGATAAAGCTTCTTAAAAGCTGCCTTCTCAACACCACAGTGCAGTGCCAAGGACAGCCTCAAAAATTATTTTAGAAGCATATTTTCAAAATCCACACTAAAAAGGAGGCTTAGCAGCAGCTACTTATTAATAAGGGTTTTGTGTTTATTTGCTGAAGTTACAGACACATTGCAAAAGGCACAAATCATTCCAGAATTACACACTCATTACTGGAATGTCACTTGTTACCTTATCTTCCAGGGCGGCCATCCTCTCCTTGAGATGAAGTTGGAGCCTTTCATTGGATTCAGATAGGAGCTTATCAACAGTTTCTGACAAACGTTTATTATGCTCTTCATTCATCTTCTCTCTCTGTCTAGCCTGAGATACAAAGAAACTACTGAAAAAACTTCAGATTTGCAAAATCTCTAATAATTTCCAGGTTAAGAAGGCAGCAACCTTTCTTTAATCCAAATGCATTTTCTTTAATAGCAGTATTTTTCCACAGGGGAACACTGCATGTGCCTCCAGTGTTCTGTAATGAGAATCTAAGGGACACTTCAGTCTTTAATATGTGATCCAAGATCAGAAGTTTAAAAATCTAAGCCTACATTAGAAACATTTTTAAAAGGAACAATTCAGAATCGATTCCATTATTTATAACCCAGGAACCAATTTTTCCATAGTCATTTATTTCAGCAAGTTTCTTCAGACTTTCACTGAACACTTTCAGCACATTTTCCTTGAGATTTAAGGTTAGCCACAGCACAGTGACTCACTATCAGCCAGCCTAAACTCTGTTTTTTTTATTTTAAAGCTGAGAAATAAAGAGGATTAGGTTCTTTCTTTCAGCATTTTGTCTTTGTCAAAATGAGGTGCAGTACCCTTTGCAGTTCTTGATTCTTCTCTTCAAGCTGTGCCTCCATCTGTCTCAGTCGCTCCTCGATATTGCCGTGTCTCTCCTCAGCCTGTCAATTTGAGAGCAAAATTAGAATTTGGGTGGGTTTTTATAGGCTTCAAAAGCACAGAAACACCGAGGCACAGGAATATTTCTAACATGCTTCGCACAACTGCCATTTATGGTAAAGGACAATGCAGAACAGATGCTTTTCTGTCACCAAAAGGACCTTGCAAAAGTTCAGATGGGAAGTTGCAAAATGATGAAACCTCTCACTTCTAAGTACCATGAATCAACTACTATTTGCAAACAAGCTTGCAACAGCAAAGTTCATTCATATCCCCAAGAAACAAAACCAAAAAATAAATAAAATTAAAGACTGAGTGCACTTCCAGCTCCTCCTCACTAGCCTGGACAATGGGACCCTATGTTAGTAATCATGGCAAAGCAGAAAGCAGCAAGCAGAGACAAGGACTAAGATACAAATTCTACCTTCCTAAGCTTGGTGGCAAGTTCCAAAACTTTAGCATCTTTAGCAGCAGAGCTCCCAGGAGACAAAAGTTCAGACTACAGAGCCAGTTAGGGACAGGAAAGATAACAGGGAAAGAAATGAAACTAAGGCTTTGAAAGAAAACATGCACACATGAAAGAAAACATGCCTTGAAAAGGCTCGTTTGTAGTTAACTAAATATAATTCTCCAGATTTCATTACACCATTTGCAGCCCTTTAAAAATCTTGATATTTGGTAGTACCACAAGTTCCCTCACTCCCCACTTGCTTCACTTAGCTAGCAGTGGAAGAAATTTAGGTTTCCCTTTCAGAAGTTCATATTTAGAAGACTTTATGCCTATTATTGAATAATTTTAATAAAAAGCACCAAAATAATAATTCAGAGAGATACTTTTATGATGTAGAAGAGTTAACAGAAAACTCGTTTGAGATCCAAAGAGCAGTAATTAAAAAAAAAGATTAAAAAAAAAACAAAACAAAAAAAAGTGTCTCCAAAAAGATGAATGGAAAAAAGTAGGAAATAAACATTTTCTGAATTATTTGTAGAAAAACAAATGTAAGCAAACCAACACTAGGAACAAACTTCCTGCAGCGGGACCAATGGAGGAGGGAGTCTGGAGGACACTGTGCCACCACCTCACCTTTGTAAGTGCTGCAACTCTCTGTGCCAGCTCAGCCTCCACCTCTGGCAAAGTCTCAGCTTTTCTCAGGGTCTGCTGCAGCTTTTGCTCAGCCAGTTCCAGTCGCTCTTGCAGTTGCCTGTTCTTATCTTCACTCTGCACAGGGTTATGACCAGCAAGTATTGAGGGTTAAAGAAGTGATTAGTTAGAAAGTGGTTGGCTAAACAACCATTTCTGGCTTATTAAGTTGGACTATTTCACGTCAAGCACCTGTCAACCCTTCTCACTAAGGCAATAGCCTGTAAAAATCACTACACACTATGCAAATCTTAAAAGTTTAGCTCAGAATGAGTATTTCTCACCCACAAAACTAAAGCTGCTTGGATACACATACAGCAACTTAAAAATCCACAATAGGGACAACAGCCCTGCTGCCCCAAGATGAAGTGTACTAAATTTCTCAAAATCATTTCCCCTTCCCAGTAAAGACGTCTCATTTTTATTCCCCGGGTAAAAATCTCTACAATGATCGACTCCAGCTCCTGAAAAACAATCACTAATAACAGCACATTACAGCTGATATTTATCTTCCTAAAAGTGCTTCAGCACAGCATGAACATTAATTATCTCTATTAGCTTTATGCTGAGCAAAATGTACTTCATCTCATTTGAAACCACAACCTGTCGGTGCATGGAGTCTTTAGTGGCAATTTCATTTTCAAGTTTATCATTGAGGTCATGCACAGATGTAGCTTCACGTTGTGCAGCGAGGTAGCGTTTCTCTAGAGTGGTGATTCTCTCCTCCATGTCCTCCTTCTGGGCCAGAGTCTGGGCAAGACACAGGACAGAAGCCAGAATGTGAGAAATAATTATCCAGTGATCAAAAAAAATTTTTTTTAAATTAGGTTATTTTTCTCTGTAGAAAATGAAGTAGAAAGAAATGGCTTTTTAAAACAGTGAATGATTAAAAACCACTGGCCTTTATTACCTTACACCACAGAACTGCTACTTTCCTTTCCAATAATGCACACACAGCAAATATTGGCTTACTGGGGATGGTCAGAGAGTGTTCTGGGATTTAACTAAGCTCCCTTTCTATCTAATAAGGATATGTGAGACCCTAGAGATTAGGGATTCAACAGTGACAGGAGCTCTCAACCACACCACTGAAATTAAAGGGATTCCTCAACCAAGTGCATCTTTTAAAACAGGAAGCATGAGTAATGAGCTGAGCATGTATGACAAGATCAAGCATCTCTTCCAGAATAAGCTGAAGTTGGCAATGCTAAATCTCCAGTCTATTAATGAAATATCTAGATAATCAAAGATTTATCTTAAAGACAAATTTTCTTAAGTGACTGGTCTTTTAAACAAAAACAGATGCACATCATGTCCTAAAAAAACATTTTCTTCTCATCTATCAAACCAAAGACTTCCAAAACCATAAAGATTCAACTGAGCATGAGTGAGATTAAAATTTCATAAAGTAATGGCATTTTTGACTTCCCAGATCCTGACAGTTCCTTCCTCACCTCTCGTACATCCCTCTGTAACTTTGTGTTCATTTCTTCAGATTTTATTAAGTCTTTCCTTGCTGTGTCTAGATCTTCTTCCAGCTCTGTTACTCTGCTGGACAAAGCAGTGAGGCGTTCTTTCATTTGTGTCTGCTCTTTGTTTTGCTTATCTATGATGTCTTGGAGTTCAATCACTTTAGCAAGATTTTCATCATGGCATAATGAACCATCAGAGGATCTCTGTTAAATAGGGGAAAAAATGCATATTAGCATGATGCAAATAAAAACCAAATTGTTATTCACCTGTAAAATCCCTCCCCAAATATAATTTTATTACTGGATAGACTGCAAAAGCTGAAATTTTGATAACTAAGACATTTTAGTTAGATGATCACTTGTTGCCGCTGGATACAAATAGATCACACGGATACAGGTCGTGGTGTGGTGAAAGGAAGAGAGAGTTTATTTTTCCTCCCAGGATTTATAGGTTTCCTACCACAGCCAGGGATTGGATGGTCAGGATAACACTTTCCCACTTCATTGGCCATGAGAGATGTCCATCACAAGATGTGTAACAGAAAGAATGTACACATATCTATGTTTACAGTTACTGTCCTGGGAAAGTCTTTAGAAAACTGTGTCAGCAAGCTCAGAAGCTGAGTTTTCAGGGCAACAATCACTCAAAAATATTTCATTATGGTTTAAAATTAAAATGTTACAGTTAATGATTAAAAACCAGATGTCAGCTAAGCAAAGTAAATAGCTGTACCTTCCCATTTGTAGTTGGTGTATTTTCTTGTTCATGATTTATATCCAGCATCCCATCTGGAAGTGTTTTCTTCTGATTATTTTGCTCTTTCAGAATCATTAACTAAAAGAAAAGTTTACAGACACATGTTTCAAGTCAATTGCTTTCTCACTAATAATACAAGGAACAGCTGCAAGAACAAAGGAGCAAAACAACAATTACTGATTCTACTGCCAGGTATGTATTAATAAAATCTGGCACAGCCACTCAAATACCTTATGCCACTGTAAACCCTTATTTTAAAGGCACAGGAACTGTTTTTGTAGGTTTGGTTGGATTTTGGGGGGGGCACAGAGGGTGTCAGGAGGTTGAGGTTTGTTTTTTTCTTCTCCTGCTCTTTCAAAGCAGCCAAGTTAAAAATTAACAATTATTCCATTTGGCAAGAAATCAAAAGGAAGACGTGAAAGTGGAACTTAATTAATTAGTCTGTACAAATATTGGCTGAAACACCCACAATGGACACATGAAGCCTTCTTTTAAGACAGAAACTTACCTCTTTATGTGTAGTACCTAGTTCTTCTTCCAATAAGCTACATCTTTCAAGTGCTACTCGTAATCTCTCCCTTACCTGAAACAGTAATTTCAAATTATTTGAAATCATTCAAATGAAAAACAAATCAATTTCAATTGCTGCCATGCCTTTAGAGATAATAAATTACACTTCCATTACACTTAGAAACCTCCTTAATCTGGAGTCAGTACTATTTACAACACACAGTACCAAAAAAATAGCCAAGTAATGTGTATCTTATAATCTAGCTTTTCCTTTTTTGTCATAAGCAACACAATCTGTACGTTTAGGCATTAAAGAATTAAACATACCCAGAATTTGCTTGTCCTTCTGCAAGGCACAGACTGTGCTTGCTTTTGCTCATTTACAACACAGAAGAATAGGTAAAATTCCATTTAAAATCATTTGCCAGATTTTATGTAAAAGGGTCACAAAGTCAAGTAAACTGCAAGCTGGCAACAAGATTCACAGTGAACTTCAGGAGCTGCATATCCTGCTGCTAATACCAGGCACAGCTGAAGGGAGGAGTTTTTTTAATTCAGATTTCTATCCCAGTGTAAGCAGATTCCCCTCCTCCTCTTCTCTCTAGTCCATTTCTTGTATTAGATAATCAAAAGGATAAATCCTGATGTTGTACAGGTAAGCATCTGTGTGCATTCCTACAGAAAATATATTGCTCCTGAACCATGCTGAGTTTACATTAACACAGTTAATGAAGTGCTTGACTAAACCATAGCACCTTGCTTTAGTTAAGTGCAGCATCTTAATTCAGGAGAGTAGTTACTAATGTAGTTACACTGCAGAGATTTGTACAACTTCAGCACAAAAACTTCCTGGCCCACTCAAAGCAAAGAGGATGGGAAGATACTAGGTACAATACTTCATTACCTTTTCATCAAGGGCTTTGTGGTGCTCAAATAAAGATTTTAGTGCTTTGAGAACTTCTACTTCACTAGAAACTCCTGCTGGAGACTGAGCTTGCCTCTTCACAACAGTCATCCTGAGGGATCGCTCATGCCTGGAGACAAGACACTCCAAATGTTCCAGTAATAGCTAAAGCAAAAGAATAAAAAAAGAAAAAAACAAAAAAAATTAATGTTTATTCCTATTATCTCCAGCTGCAGAAAACTTTGCCTCCTAGAACATCAGGTTACAGCTCTAAACTTCAAATTCATGAGAAAAAGGATACTGTATTGAGCGTAAGGACTTGTTTTTAACATTTCAGCTTATTAGCAGTGTAAGCTGCTCAAACAGATCACCACAACCTGCCCACTCTGCTCCTCTGATCCCAGAGCTGCAGGATTACAAAACTTTAACAACAAGAAATCTGGATAGCAGATAGCAGTGCAGTCTTACAAGCTTTTCCTGATTTGCACAGCAGCATTTGGAGCTGTGCACAAGCTGTCAAACCTTCTCAATCAACACACACACATTTGCACTTCCACGGGGATTCATGTACGAGTATCAAGGAAAAAAATACTTTTAGCTTTTCAAATTCAACATTTGTTTTCCTCCATGTAGCTGGATGCTTTAACAATGGTAAGCTTGGAAAAGACAAGGAACTGACCCTCGTATTATTTCTTTCTGCTTTCAGCTCAGCAATTTCTTCTTCCCTTTCAAGCAGCTGCTCCCTGCATACATTCAGCTCTTTGGTGAGCGCTGCAAATTCCTGGAACACACCAGACAGAATTATAAGCATATCAAGTATCACAAGTAAGACACAGTGGATTCATATGAACACTTGACAGTTCCTTGAAGCATTAATTTCAGACGTGCAAAGCCAATATAACTGTATAGTCATGCTAATCAAACACTCAAAACCTTTATGCTGCCAACTTTAAAGACAAAAGATGTTTGACCAAGACTTTGAAAACTTGTTTGTGTCTCGAGGTAATTATATGAGTTGGGGTTTCCCTGGTAAGTGAAAGTAATATTTGTAACACACTTTGTTACCGTTTCAAAGAGTTGTTAGCTTTGTGTGTTTCGGTTTGTTGGGTTTTTTTAACAACCGCTGAGGAAGACAGGAAAAAACAGAGTGATAAGCACAGCAAAATAAGGAAACCAACAAACATGATAAATTTCAAGTCAGTATTTAATTGTGAGCAAAAATGCATAATCCTGACATGTACCAGAATACAGCTAAATACAGGAATTTCATTCATGCCTTCCTCCCAGTCTCACAAAAGGGAATGAAGCAGCCCTTTCCCTACAGTCCTGTTAGAAATCTCTGAGGATTAGAATCAGAATTTTCTGAAAGCTGAGCCTGGGGGCTCAAGCCCTCACAAGGCTCACCCTTCAAATTCAATAAAGATTTCACCAAACAAAACCCAACCAAAGTGAAATAGTGCAGAGTGAAGTGTCATTGGGGAACAGGAATGGAGCTAACTCACATCACTTACTGCATGCTTATTAATGCAGTGAACACAGTCAATATGAAAGAATATCCTCCTACAGTTCGGGGTTTCTGTTAGGAAATGATTATACTAATATCTGCAAGAGCTACTGCAGCCTAAACCATTTCCCCTCCCTATTAACAGCCTCACTAAAAATACTTAATATTAAAGACATTTAAATGTTCTGTCCACTTAGGGAGCATACCCTGAATAGAACAAAAGGTACAACTATACACCACATTTAGAAGCAAACACAAAGCATAACTTTATCTACTCTGGCAAAATTTAAATTCTAATCTGAACCACACTGGAAATGAGAATTGACAGTATGAATATGAACAAGCCCATCCTTTAGAAAAGAGCCTTGCAAGAATGCAACCCTTAGGTCTTGTCTGTGCAACTTAAAATGTGAAAATAAATACGCCTCAGTCACTCCAGTGGTCAGTGAACGTGTCAGAAGCACATGGACAAGAAAACATCGAAATTCTAGTAAATAACACTCCTTTCTGTTGTCCAAAATAAGGAAAATATTCATAAAAAAGAATCCTGCCTAATAAACAATGTATTTGTACAGCTGAACTGGTGATTAGCAGGACAAGGTGAACACAAATAGCCAGCTAAGTGGAGACAACTGCTGCTTCTCTACCTTTTCCAAACTCTGCGAGACCCACTGCTTATCAGTCAGCAGCTGCATATCAAGTGAAAGCTTAAGATGGAGCTGTTTTGCAGCAAAATTCAAAGTGACAGAATGCACATGCTTAAAAACAAAAGGCCACATCAATCAATTAATTATACTAAGCACATCTGCAAATTCAAACACGCAGCTAAAATAAGCAGGCACAGCTCAAAAGACACTGCAATTTCCAATATTCATTTGGTAAACTTTATTCCAAAATATACACATGACTGAAAACACAAAAAAAAAATGTTGTAAAATATACATCTGGAGTGAACTCCTCTGGAATTACTAACATATCAGACTTTTAAAAGTTGCTGTGAACAAGACAGCACCACCACCATCTGATGCAGAATCCATCCCTACAATCCCTCTTCCTAAATCAAAACCGACTCAATGGATAAAAGTTTCAGTCCCCCTTCTAAATCAGCAAAAAACTGCAAAACATCTTAATATATTTATTCTTAATTCATCTTAATTTATTTTCCTTTCTCAATTGCTAAATTATTTTATTTCTCTAACACAATAATTACATTCATATATTTCACTGTAGTATTTCATTTGCATTAAAAAAAAAAAAAATGGCCTATTATTTTCAAAATGGCCAGGAAATACTTCCGAAAAAACCTGGTCTGTAAATACAGCTACCAGAACTTTTACACACACAAAACAAATTACAAAAAGGTCCTTAGTGCAAGGTAATCCAAGAGGAAAACTTACTTCAGGCTTCACTGGAGCTGACAGAAATATTGACTCTGCTATGATCTTTCCCAGCAGAATGTTCCTTCAGATATAAGCTTTTCCTGCACCTTCAACATCCCACTGGTGGGAGCTTCCAGGACTCCCAGGGAATTGGCAGCATACTCCCCTCCTTTTGCTCTCACATGAGCTCAGGTAAACCAGAAACTGAAGCTGTCATTTTTCACTGGCAGTCCCTGTTTATCTTTACAGATTAGATAATTACGTACTACTGAGAAGAGCCTGGTATGAACTTACTTTCTTGGTGTATTTCTCCTTCCAAATTAATAATAATATAAGAAGAGTATTTTTAAAAACCTTAAAAATGACAACATCAACATTTAGAAACATTAATATTGCCCAATTCTCCGGATGACACTGGCCTGACATGGGAAGTTTTCCATTGTCCCAGCCTCTATCTCAAGTCTTGAGAACAGGACGCAGAGCACAGCAAGGACTACCAGACTCTGTCCCATCATCCTTCTTCAAATCACTACATAGCATCAATATATATCTTTTTATCTGTATGAGTGCCCCCATGTGAAAACCAGCTGTATATTTGAAAGGAAAGTTATTCACTCTTCAGATGATTTTAGGACAGAGAGTTCCAGTCCACTGCATATTCCTGTGTAAATATAAATTGTAGGACAAATAGATCCCAATTGTGACACGAACCATCACACTGTCACATGACCCAGAACAAGAGTGCACACAGGAATTTATACTGCTGCTGCATAAACACTGACAGGGATTGCTGGCATTGCATAACACCTCCATTGCTGTTTGTTTTGACAAAATAGAGTTGCTTTGAGTCCCATGAGCTGCCTAAGAAAGAACATTTGAACGTCCTTAGTTTCAGTTGACACTGCCAAAAGACTTGTCCTTTCTAGTTTTAATACTTACCTTCAGTGGGAGAAAATTTGTGATTTCATTAAGTAGTTCAAAAGCAGAGAAACTATTTGCAGTTTTATAATCTCAAAAAATTTGGAGTTGTCTCATAATTTTTTCCTTGGCATTAGATGAATGTAAAAAGAATTAAAAGAAAAAGGAAAGAATCCTGTGAAACTTTCCCACTTATCCACAAAGCCGTGTTGCTTTTCTGTAATTAAGAAGACTGAGAGCAACAGAATGAAGTTCTGCTCTGTTTCTGGCTGCCATCAAAATAATAAATACACAGCGCTGGGGACTGACAAGAATGAAACTCACAAAAAGCACTTCAGAGCACTCACATGAATTGGTGGGAGAGTGCTGAATTTACCAGAGAAATATTCCCTCTTAGAACATTCTGGCAAACACCCATACTCTACACTAAACTGAAATGCTTACTGAAGAAAGTAACTTTCTGACCCAACTGAATCATTCCAAACACGTCACTTTTGCTGCCAGAAATAAATATTCTCAACCAAAAGCCACATTGAGCAAGTAAGTTGGTTCAGTAATACATTTTCTGGGCTTTTTTTTGTTCCCAAGCTCCAGGATTTTTTAAAGCAATAGCATTTCTTCTACTTCAACCTTCAGAGCTGACCTTCAATCTTCAGTATTTAGACGCCACAATATAAACATTCTTCTAAAGCTGGATCCATTAGTGCTGAGCTGACACACTTGGGAACTTCCACAATCTCAATCCAGGAACATTCCAGCTTTCAGGGAACAGGTTTCCTTCATGTTCATTATAAACATAATTCACAGGTCTCACAGACAGCACATCACAGACCAATAAATGTTACACCACAGGAAAATAGTATTTAACCTAGGGGAAATACTTGAAAGAAACAGAGGTAATTCCTGAAAGGCTGTTAATATAAGTTGTGTATTAGGGATGCTCTACAAATAACTAAATTTATTTGGAATTTGACCAAGCAAAAAAAAACCAAAAAAACCTTATTCCACAAGAAAATGCAATGCCACTTGAATGCACAAGTAATCATGAATTACAAGCAACCACACAGCCAGAGAATTTATATAAATGATGAAATTACATGCAATTTAAAAAGAGAAACATTTTAAATTCATCAAATACTATTAAATACTGTAAAGTAGTAACTTCAGGCAATAGAAAGATGAAGTTGTGACTGCTGCATTTTTAGGAACATCTGACTGAAATATATGACTAGAATTTATCTTTTAATCTCCAAGTGATATTTTGGTTTACTGTTATCATTCTGGTCTGTAGACTGAATATCAAGCAAGCCACTCACAAATCCGAGCAGCTGAAGTGAGCAGGAAAAGAACAACTGGAAGAAGTGCAGGACAGGGGTGAAAACCAATGGGATTTGAGATCAGTTTCCATCATGATGTTTGTACTACATATAAACCACAATTGTTCCAAATGATGACTGTGTGGAAATGGTGAATATACCGTCTAAAACAAAACAAGCAAAGAAAAATTAAATAACTAGGCTTATTTCTTGGTTATTTCACAGCCAATTCACTTTAAACCTAAGTGGTTTAGGTAGCACACAGTGACCAAGAGGCCAAACACATTTGAAAGTTCCTAGCAAGCAAATTTTCACACCTATTAAGTCATAGGTTTGTTTTGGGATTCTTTAGGCTAAGAATCAGAACTTCGAAATTATGAAACAGTTCAAGGTATCAAGAGTTAGAACTGAGGAGAACTGACTTGTTTTCACCATTAAATCCAGCCTTGGAAAAAAAACCTAGTTACACACCACATATTATGCTCTGCCTGTTCCATGTAGGAAAACATGTTGCTTTCAACCTTTCCATATCTCTGACATATGCTAATAGGAAAGAGAAAAATCAGCCTAGAGAGTGCAAATAAAGATATTTTCCTTTTTACCTCATGAAAATAATTTCCAGTAACTATCAAGCAGCCTGAATTGACTAACCTAGAAACATAAA